TTTTGTCGCAAAACGGAAAATGTCTTTAAATAGCGATAAATGTATTGAAAAATGAACAATAAATAAGAGAAACGGTTTTCAGTTAACACACGGCAACTGAACGTAACGCAGAGAAAAGCCTGCGAAAGGAAACACACGTTAATTAGTGGCGAAATGATTGCGAAATGATTACCGTTTTGTGAATGTCTCGCGTTTTCCGTCTGATCGCTGTTTGACCGCACTTTCAGTTGAAACGGTTTTGAACGCGCTTTCGATGCAAACAACAATTAGAGGTTTGAACTCAAATGGGATTCAAAGGCTTACAAATGACGACATTGTTGTAGAAGAGTCGTCCGCCGCAGAAGCGGTCTTCGCCGGCGCCCGAGCCCTCCTGCGAGCCCTGATCGATGCCCACGTAGTCGTCGTCGTTGCAGAGCCCGCCCGTCAGTCCCAAGTCAGAGAAGGAGGTGTTGCCCGCGGAGTACAGCGGGTCGTTGGACGCGCCCCACGAGAACGAGTTGTCCGCCTCTGTCATCCACTTTATGGCACAAAAGTTCTCCTCCACTCGAATACAAGAAGTGTAGCGAAGGTTCGAGAGATACCGAGACTTCAAGTCCACCTGAGAGGAGACGCGCGTTAATTGCGGACAAATCCATGCATTATTCATACCTTTTCTCCGTAATTGAAAGATCTGATGACGTCAGAGGGCAGGCGATAGTATTGCAGACATCCTGAGGGCGCCATCACGTAATTGTTGCACGGAATCAAAGAGATCTTTATCTTCCATTTGCGCGAAAAGTCGATGTCGTTTGTGATGACGGAGAGGACGACGGGATTGCCGGAGCCGCGGCCCATATCCACGTACAGGTGCTGTCCCTTATTCTCGCCGCACAACATCGGCAGTCGTTCGCCGACAGTCGTCCTGACCATAAACGAGTCTTTGGTGCAGCGGCCGTACTCGTCGGGCGGCGACAGCGAGAACTCCTCGAGATCTGCGCAGACATCGGGACTGAGACAAAGGCAGAGAGAGTGAGAGACTAACCTAATCGCAATTGGCAGACGTCGGGCGCGTTCTGAATGGTCACTTGACAGGTGTTGGTGCCGTTCTCGCCCATGGGATACGACGGGTTCACGAACAGCGTCTCGTTGCTGGACGTCTTGCCCGAACACGTGAACTTGAATGTGCAACACGTGAGGCCCGAGCGGCCGCACTGCCCGCTGCCGGTGCCGCCGCGCGAGCGACAGTCGGTTTCGGAGAGACAGGTGCCGGCGTCGCCGACGTCGGTATTGCAGGGCGTGTTCTGCAGACGCATCGGTTGGAAGATGTTCTGAATGTTGGGTCTCCAGAACTGACGACTCGTTTCATCGTTTTGGACGCTTTGAGCGACAGATATAGAAAAGATCGCGAAGAGAAGAAACGGCGAATTCATGGCTAGTTTTCGTCCGCTTCCAAGAATGGAATGAACGCAAAATGTTTGCATCTCTTGTTTAGCGAAGAAATTGCGGAAGTATTGCAACAAAAACAGGTCATCAACCGATTGAAGTGCTCTTGAGTTCACTGGAGAAACACTATTCGAGTTTTGGTGCGAAAAATGCGAGATTTGTGAGAAAAACAAGTTTTTTGGGAATAAAATAAACGTGAAGTTCAAGGAAACTGTTTTTTTCGATCAAAATCTGACATAAATTTGCAATTTTGACATAAATTTGCTGCAAATCCTGAAACGCTGTTATCTTTCAATCTTTCGCTGCAAAACTTCCTCAAGATTTGCATTTCTCGCGAAACTCTCAGAGATCTTGAACTTGAAGATGGAATGACACGATTCGCAACGAGAACTCGGTTTTGAATTCAAGAAAAACACGATTTTTGTTTCAAAAGCTTTTTATTGTTGAATAAGTTATTGAAATGACTTCAAGATAATAAATAAGTGAATTTCAGCGAATAATAAATTATAATCAATGACTGTTAAAAACTCCTAAAAATCCTTTTTTTTGGCATTTTTACAATACTTTTCGTGTTTCGTGTTTTTTTTCAATTGTTGTGTCATTTTATGTACAAATTGTTTGTTTATTACAATGTTTGTCAAAACTCTTAGATTTTTTGTGTTTCAGATGTTTTAATGTCTTTCATTCTTTGGTGTTTAAATAAAGTGTCCATTTTTTGTGTTGTTTATGATTGTTGTCTCGATGTCCGCACACATTGTTAGATAACACACGGCAACTGCACGTAGCGCAGGGAGAAACCTAGAAAAGAAACATGATTAATAGATGCACATTAACAGAGGCACAAGCACAGGCAGGGCACTTACCATGCTGGGCGTTTTCGGCGTTTAGCTTCTGGTCGCTGTTGGAGCGCACCTTCAGTTGGAAGGGTTTGGAACGCGCTGTCAATACAAACACAGTTAGAGAGGATTAGAACACGATTACTGGACTTACAGATGATGTAGTCGTCTTCGAGCAGTTTCGTGCCGCAGATCCTGTCCTCGCCGGGACCGCTGCCTTCGGCGCTTCCCTGATCGATGCCAATGAAGTCGTCCACATTGCAGAGGCCGCCGCTGGCGCCGCGCGACGTGAGGTTGCCCTCGAAGGGCGCGCCCCACGAGAAGGAGCCGGGGGCGTCCGTCTCCCACTTGATCGAACAGAAGTTCTCCTCAACTCTCACGCAAGAGGTGTAGCGCAGGTTCGAGAGGTAGCGCGCTCTGTTCTCCATCTGCACAGTGTTATAGTGTTAACAGTGTTAGAGTTGGTTGTCATGACTACTGACCGGAACGCCGTAATTGAAACTCTGGACGACGGCTGAGGGCGAGCGGAAGTACTGGAGACAGCCGGAGGGCGCCATGTCCAGGTTGTTGCACGGGATCATGTTGATCTTGATCTTCCACTTGCGACCGATGAAGTTGCCGTTCGTCACGACGGAGAGGACGACGGGGTTGGCGCTGCCTCTGCCCATGTCCACGTACACTGCCAGAGAGGGAGGAGTTATAGGAAGGCTAAAAATAATGCATAGAGTGCTTACGGTGTTGGTTGTTGTTGTCGCCGCACAGAATGGGCAGTCGTTCGCCGACAGTGGTTCTGACCATGAAGGAGTCGGTGGTGCATTGGCCGTTCTCGTCGGGCTGCGCCAACGAGAACTCCTCGAAGTCCAGACGCAACTGACACACGTTGGGCTGCTTGTCGATAGTGACCTGACAGGTGTTGGTGCCGTTGTCCGTTCGCGGGTACAAGTTGTTGACGAAGATGGTCTCGTTCTCTTTGGTGCGGCCGCCGCACGTGAACTTGAAGTTGCAACACGAGGCGAAGCCGGACGCGCACGTGCCGTCGGGAGTGCCCGACCGCGTGAGGCAGTCGTTCTGCGCGAGACACGTGCCGGGAGTGTTGGACTCGGTGTTGCACGGGCTGTTCTGGTAGCGGATGATGGCGAAGATGGCTGGGATGGACGGCGGCCGGAACGACGACTGGGCCCACACCTGCGACGCGAGGAAGAGCGCGAGGAACACGAGTTGGGGTCTCATTGTTGGGGAAAGACGAGCCATGTTTGGGTGAAGCGCTCGCTCAACAATCTCTTCAGCAACTGATAGACCCGGAAATAGCGGCAGCGCTCTTATATACGGGTCATTGGCTGCAGACCGGTTGCGGACGCGTGCGAGCGCTGGAGATGGCGGCTATTGGTTCCAGCGAGGGTCACGTGGGCGCTCGAAAGTAAAAGTGGTTTTCTGCGATTTCGTCATAAACTGAAATCAAGTTTTGGCAGAATTTTGTAAACACTGAAAGTCAAAAATAAGGAAAATAAGGAAGTGCGCGCTTCACCTGACCTTCACCTTCAAGTCGTGCCGATGTGTCTGTCAGTGTCTGCAGAGAGGCTCCTGTGCCTCAGGCGCTGCGCTCACCTCTGAGCGCACTTCCGGGTTGCAGACGTTCACATTTAATGGCATTTCACAAAAACAATAATCCCTTCAGTTCTGCCATGACTTCTTTGACAGCACTGTTGTTGGTCNATGCGAACAACGATTACTCATAAATTCAATCACAATGACTTCACTTACAAATGACAAAGTCGTGGTCGAGCAGTTTGGAGCCGCAGAAGCGGTCCTCGCCCTGACCCGTGCCCTCCAGCGACCCCTGGTCGATGCCCACGAAGTCGTCAAAGTTGCACATCTGGCCGCTCGCGCCGCCTAAGCAGAGAAATGGGTCAATTTGGGTCTCTTTGTTTTTGCACTAACCGTTGCAGAGACGGGAGGGAAAGAGCGGGTCGTGTTCCGAGGGCTGAACGCCCGGCAGGAACCCCTCTGAGGGCAGCGTTTTGCCCGATTTGCCCGAATTGAGGGGCACGAAGGGGAAGGGATGGGAGCACTCGCCCAACTCCTGGTCCTTGCCCTCGAAGGGCGCGCCGAAGAGGAAGGAGCCAGGTGACGCCGTCTCCCACTTCACGGCGCAGAAGTTCTCTTCGGTTCGGATGCAAACCGTGTACCGCATGTTCGCCAGATAGCGCGCTCTGTACTCGATCTGCGGTCACGTGATTGTGATGTGAGAGGTCAGAGGTTAAAGGCGTGAAACACTGACCTTTGGGCCGAAGTTGAAGCTCTTTATGACGTCAGTGGGCGAGCGGTAGTACTGGAGACAGCCGGAGGGCGCCATGTCCAGGTTGTTGCACGGGATCATGTTGATCCTGATCTTCCACTTGCGGTTCGATTTGTTGCCGTTCGTCACGATGGACAGCACGACGGGGTTGGCGCTGCCTCTGCCCATGTCCACGTAGACTGACGAGGAATACAAACAATTATCACCCAATTAGTCCCATTAGCCGCACTCACTGTGTT